ATAACATACTCAACTCTTTGTACAGCATTAACATGACATGGTAATGTTGAAACAAGGTGCTGTGCATCAGAAAATAATATGTTTGATCATTCATTTATCAAAGTTTCTTCTAACAGTTGAAGTGATGTTGGTAGTGGAAATCTGCTTTGAAACGTAGATTCAAGAACTGACCATAAATAAAGAGTTAATAACATCTAAATCTGGTGGGTGTGGTGTTGTCTCAAATTCTTCGTCATGTTCATGTTCTTGAAACAGACAAGCTATATTTCAAAATAAAATTCATCATAAAATGAACTTGGTGTGCAATAAGGTTTAAGTAATTATTTGTTACCACTTTACCTTTCAGTGAGATAATAGGCACTGAACCATCCAAACAAAAATCTTCCTATATTATCACAGAATATCAACCATGCATAACTGATGGCACAAGACATGTAGGGTTGTACGCTTCTCTTGGTTTTCATAATGTATAAGTACATCCATTTGATGGACAGAGTATAAAAGAAGATTAATCTAGTCAAGCAACATTCTACCACTGACATTTAGTCCAATTTTTGTGTTTTTGACACCATTCGTTTTGCACTTTTGTGGTGTTATTAGAGGTTTCTAAATGACAGGTCTGCTGCAATAACTCATCTTTTGCAATTCCCTTTGAGTTGTTGTGAAGAAATTGACGATTTTAGTCTAACCTGAGGTGCTGCACACACTTTTGATGCTTTAGTCTTTTATTTTTGTCTCATTATTTAAGTTAATGCTCATTTGTCATGATCTTTAAACTCAGTTTTATGACCACTAATATCATTGTGAATGTGCTTTTATTTTTCTATATTCATGATGACAACCACTTTTAACACTGTTCTTTTGGATACATTAATTATTTTATATGTTTGTGTTAGTGAGTATACAGCTAAATGTTCACCTGCCATCATGCCTCTTTTAATATCTAACAGACTTCCTTAGCTTGAGGTTTTTAGAGCCTTTCTCTGAGAAAACAGTAATATAATATTGGTATACAAACAAATTCAATGATATAGAATATCATGGTTACATTTTCTTCTCCTAGGGATACCAAACTTTAGTTAAATAGGTGAGGTTTTCCATTATTTTGTCAAATCACCATAATAACAGTGCTTAGCTGTGCATATAACTCCTATTGAAGCAAAGGTCCATTGTCAACAGCTGTATGTTTGACCTGTGGCAGAATTTCATCTTTATTAACAATCACCCTGTATAATATAATGTCTTTTATCTATGTTACAAATAATATTACTTCTCATGAGATACTTTACATGTATTGTACCTTTTGGTCCATCTCTTCCAGCAATTCCAGGAGAGCCTTCAAATCCAAGATCTCCTTGTTCCCCTTTTGACCCAGGTTTTCCCGAAAGCCCAGATTCTCCCCTCTCTCCAGGAAACCCAGGAAGCCCTGGAGATCCAGGTTCACCACGGTCACCTCTGTTGACTTCAGTTGAGGGGAGACCTGTTAAGTTCATAAAATAACAGTTTTGGTTTAATATTATACAATCCAAAACTTAATGAAGGTCTCTGATATGCAAAATTTCTTTATACACTTTAACTAGTTAGCAGCTACCTGAAATATTTTAAATAATTCAGCACCTCTTCAAATCCAGCAAAAGCTATTCAACATGTGTTTTTTGTTTTCTACTTTATTAGAGTTGTTATATTTCTCTCTCCATAACAAAATGGTGAACACTAAGCAAGAAAACTAGGGAAAGATGACATTTTGTTTCCACCTGGTTGTCCGGGTTCTCCACTGTCTCCAAATTGACCTTTATATCCATCTGATCCAGGCCTTCCCGGAGGTCCCTCATCACCTACAAGTCCTTTTAGTCCAGGTATACCCACTAGTCCTCTTTCTCCCTATGGATAAGAAAATAATTGTTCTTCAGTTGTCAGTTTGAATTATTAGTTTTATATTAAACTACTATTGCTCTTTTGGTAGCATAATGTATTCTCTAATTTTATCACTTACTCAATAGGTTCTAAGGTGTTGGGTGTGCTATACTAAATCTTACAGATAAATACTTGGAAGCCTTTTTTTAATACTAAATGTTATATAAATACATTACTTCATAAAACTACAAGAGCTGATTGCCTCAAAATTGTCTCAAGAGTTAATGCTATTACAAGAAGAACTTTTAAAAGTTATAACATTGCAATTGAATGTGTGAGAGAAACAGAATTATACCATCAGTTATATCATATTCTGCCTTGGTACTTGCAGGTTTTTAATATTTCTAAGCTTATAAATTATTCTAAGCAGTTTGGAGATTTTATAGAATAGTTACTCTTATACAACTGTAACTTTCTAACGTTCTCTGTAAAGATTATATTACCTCAGTGTTACTTAACCATTATTCCCAGTGATGAAGCAATCTGAGCTTAAACTGACCTTTGGTCCTGGAATACCAGAGAAACCTGGTAGACCACTTCTTCCTTTAGGACCAAGACGTCCTGAAAAGCCATCACGTCCAGGAGATCCTGGGAAACCTTTATATCCTTTATCACCCTTGACTCCATCATACCCTAGACAAATAGATATAATAACCAATTTGATAAAGGTTAGCAGATTAACTATGAAAACAATCAATACCTAAGTTACATACACACAAGAGGCTTCCTGGCACTGTTCTGGTCACTTACTAGTCTTGAAAATTACGTCTTTCAGTTCTACGCAACACAATCTCTTTTCCAAGTTTTACGGTTATAGATGCAATTTCATAAAGCAGATCTAATGATTGAGTGGCCACAAGAATTTGAAACTCAAAGTTACAGTTAATCATTTGTTTCAGAACTAGACAACTTTCAGAGGATTCTAGTCAGTTCATATACATTCCAGTTCCCTTAAATAACAGGAGAAATCAAGGTCATATTATAGATTCCTAATCATATTTTCATCTAATTAAGATTCATCATAGCATGATATAATATTTTGTGTAATGAGTAAGTTTTTTTTTCAGTTAAAAGAAGATGCTTATGTGAAAAACTTGTTGTGTATTTGTTAAAAGAATTTTAACAAAATATATTTTACAAACTATACATTTGTTTGGCTTCCACTTAATATCTGAAAAGAACACTTATTTAATTACATGGATAATATGATGAATTATTATATCTGTTTCAATAACAGAATTCCTTAAAAATTAATGCATTAACAAAAAAATATATTACAAAGAAATTCAACTTGGGAACGTAGGTACATGAAAATTCCAACTGCTGGTATCACTGACTGCAGGAACATATATCTTTACAACATTATATTCATGATAAGAGCTATATGTTTAACAATATAAAGACTTGTCCAGATTGTTTTAACAATGTTACCAACCAGTAGCAAAAAAAAAATCATATTAATGGAAATATTTATGAAGAAGATTAACTGTATGTAAATAAAACATAATATCAGCATGTTTATGATGTTGTACTTGAACATTAAAAAACAGTAAATTGCTTACACTAACTAATTAATATTCCACATTACAGAGTAACATAGAGCACAATACAAATATCTCATGAAACAGTGGATAGCTTCCTTTCCGAAACTGTGTTACAGAAAGTAACAAATAATGTTGAACTTGGCATACAGTCTCAATAAAATTTAGCAAGTTCCAAATTAGAACTTAGGAAAGTTCAAAAATTCTATACATATGAAAAATGCATCCTATAAGAAAGTGAGATATGTGGTATTTGCATACCACATGCTTACATGCTTGGTTCAGTGTTTGGCTTGGTGTACAGTGTGTATGTGTGTGTGATTGCCCATCTGCCTAGAGAATAGTCAGAGTGTATTAACAGACCAAGGGTGCTGTTGCATGTTGATGGTCTGAAAAGGCATACTAAAGTTTGAAAATAAGCCTTGTTTTACTGGGGAGGGGTAAACAATAGTAATGAAGGGAGTTATCTGATATCACAGGATACTTGCTGTTTAGGTTGAAAATTTAATATACAAGATTCAACACACACAGAAGAAAACACATTGTGTGTGCTGAATAACTTATGTAACAATACACCTCACATACATGGCAGAATACCAGGTGTGTAACCACAATGAATAACTATATAATATAACAAAATCCCACAAATAGCTTACCTGGTGCACCCAAACCTCCCATATGTCCTTTAGGTCCAGGATATCCTGCTACACCTCTAAAACCTTGATCTCCTACTTCTCCCTTAGGTCCAAATTCTGCTCCTAAAGCTTCTCCTGAAATTCCTCGTTCTCCCTTAGGTCCTGGCTTTCCTGGTAAACCAGAAGGTCCTGGTCTCCCTCTTCGACCTAACATATTCAAATTTTCAAATGCAAGGGCACTTGTAACAACAAACTTATATACATCCCAAAATCCAGAAGAAATTAAAGAGTTTTTTTTTAGCAAAGCCAGTAACTACTGAGTTACTTTTTCATAGTTCATTGCTTATGAAACTTCTCATACACCTTCAAGTTTAAACTAAACTTAAAACTAATTTTTCAATTTAATATTTATCTTGTTAAGAGTCAAGTTCAATATCTCTGTAAAACAAATATTGTGTATAAGTAATGCTTTTAATGGTTTAATGCTCTCCAGGAATAAAAGCAGCATGACTGTTCATCTTGAAATACTGAGAATATATGATCATTGTTGTGATATAAAGCTTGCATATATGTAGTTAGTAGTTACGTATGTGGAAGTTTATGTATTTCTTTATATATTATGTATATCCAATTGCTTCAGATGTTGTTTATGCATTCTATTTGTCTGGAATTTCCACACAAACTAATAAAATATCACCCAGTATTGCATGGGCAGCCATACGTGTAAATGTCAATCAACTTGCATCTTTTTTTAAACAAAAGTTACATTGAGAAATAGTTGATGCTATTAAGGACGAATACAAAACAGATATTTAAATATATTGAATGATTCTTCTGCAATTCCTTACTGACCATAGAAAAAATATTAACATTACCTTTATAGAAATTTCTCCTAGAATTTTTCTTAGACTAAACACTTAGGACAGGATGTTAAAGGAGAATAACTGAATTATTTTGTGTTTACTTATAGGAAATGAAACTCAATGCTATTCCTCTTTATTGGATAATTATGAGTAATTCTCAATCATTTTTTGTTTTTTGAAGAGTCACTTAGAAATAGGTATTCAGAACATTTGAGTACAAACAAATTTAATCCACACTTTATATCAAAGTACCCAGATTACAGGACCATCATTAGCTTAAAAAAATCTAGCAATTCCTTGAGGCACATAGAATTTACACACATATTTTTGTCTCTCCCTAGTAAAGAATTCTCACCCTTAATGCTATTTATCTTTGTTTTTCAGTGTTGTTCTCTATCATTAATGGAAGGAAATATATAAGTTTTCACATACAACAGATTATAAAATCTTATTGGATGGTAGAGTACCACAATCATTAAGAGTTATTACTTACTTAATAACAGATAATTTGGTTTTCTGTTAAGAAAAATTCTAGAAGAAAATAAAATTATTGAGACTTTGAAATTCTGTTAGTGAATTACTATGAACATTAAAACATCCACCACACAAAAAATAATGAAAGTTAATAATTTATCACAATAGCTCAAGAAATGTGCTCCATGATAAAGTGGTCAAAAACTTTATTTTTATAGTCAAATTATTCACAAGCTGACAGAAAACGTTTTATGTCATTATGTACCTTTGCTAATTTTAACTCTTTATCTTTAACTCTTTAACTCTAGAAAAATATTACATTTTGTGAAAAGATAAATTCTTATCTTTAATTTTTTCCCTTCAAAACAAAGTGGTACTAGACCAGTATTAATGCTTTCAGATACCAATGTTGCACCATTTTACCTGCTCATCTACCTGAAAATTTTCCTGACAAAGAAAAAGCACTTAATTTAGATCTCAAAAAAGAAGTACATAAATTACATATCAACAATGGCAACGTATATTGTAAGTGTATAATGTGAGTATATAAAACGTACACATTACATTAATTAGCCAGAAAATGTAGTAATTCATTAATTCTCCAATACCAAACAAAGAATGAGTTTGACAAGAACAATCTAAATTTAGAAGAGTCTTTGTAGTTTGAGATTATTTAGCTATGACTAATTTTTTCCAAATGATTTTATTAAACATCTAAGAATATTTAGTAAAAATATTTTTTTTACAGATTAACATTTTGAAAAACAAATTCAAGAATCCAAAATCTGGTTGCTTTCTTAAACTTATACTTTAACCAAAAGCTTAGAATTATAAATCTTACAATAGTTAGTATTTTTATTACATTGATTCATTTAAGTTATTTACAAAATGAGGGTATTTGTTCAATTCATTAATTTGTTGATGCTTTTCGTTTTTAAAAACCTTAAGATATTGCATTATTTAACTCATCTGTATTAAACTCACACAATTAAAATAATATTTGACCATAAGATGTTTTCCATAACTATCGTCATGTACATTTGTATTGTTGCGTCAGCGAGATCACGTGACTAGTATCACGCCACCCGTTTTCTAGAACTATCCTGTT